CGAAGGCCGCCCGGCCGCAAGAGTAACCTGCCGCCTCTCTCTTTCAGCTATGTCTGGGCTGGTAGTCCCGCCGATGTGAGGGGCTCACTCCCCCCTCCGCAGCACCCGGCACCACGACGGACTTCAGGGGACACGTTTAGCGTAGAGGGCCTGCTGCTGGAGACCGTGATCTTCAAGCTGTCAGCAGCAGCGGAGACGCTACAAAAGACTTTGTTTAAAGATTTTATTTAAACTATTAAGAATCAACATGCAAACAGCCTACTTCTTCATGAACAATTCCATTTTATTGACTGAACTTTTCTCATATTTTCACATTTCTCAGATCTGAAGACTAAGGAAAACAAAGTGACGCCTATTTTGTATAAAGTTTCTGACTCCGTCTTGGCTATGTCTAGTACTTGCTATGTGTTGGGAGAAACTTTGTGAATGCACCATTTTGATTATCATGAAACACTGATGAAAAATGCCTCCAACCATTTTTCTGTGCTCATACTTAGATTCACAATGGTTGTGTATCTCTATAATGTGAAATATTTTTTTGTGGTGAAAAAAAAAAAGGGGGGCCAAGGAGGCGTGAGCCATCGAACTGGAAGGAAGGAGGACTTGAATTCGGGTGGCAGGGAGGGAGGGAGGGTTTATCATTGCTTACCTTCATCTTAATGAAATGAAACTTTGTAACTTATTGTAGTTAGAAATTGTAACTTTGATATTGAATTCTCTTGCCTTCAACAAGCACACTGACAGAAAAAAAAAAATGCTACTGTCTGTTGGTTGAAATCTTCTCCCACCGCTAGAACTTCCTGTTAAGCAAGTGTGATCTGCAACATTTTTTCAACTTTTGCTAGCACTGTATACTATTGCATTCTTAGGCTACTGTGAGGTCCATGTTTCTTGTACCAGAAGTTGTCCTTTTGACTTCTAGCTCCTTCTTCCCTAATGTGTTTTGTATGTGGTTATAAAATTGTAGACTTTTGTGATTTTGCCAAAGTTGTAGCTAAATATTTATACACTTGTCTTGAATTTTTTTCAGATCCACTTAAATATTTAGAAAAAACACGTTTTCTTCCTTATGTGTCTCATAAGGAACAAAATGGTCTCCATTCAACACTTTTCCATGAACACTTACAGTTGCTAAGGGACTTTCTTTTGTAACATATCGATTATAAATATTGTATTTATCTTTGAGATTTTGTACATTGCTTTTACCGCCTTTTTCTTTTTCCTGTCTGTATCGGTTTTTGATCATGGCCCGGTGTTGGGAACACCGTTAAGCCAAGAGCTGTCTCTCTGATCTGCTTTGTTAAAGTGAACCGGTGTCCTGGAATTTCATTTGTACTTCAAAGATTTGCTTTTGTTTAGACTTCCCATCCTTTTTTTTTTTTTTCTTCTTTTTTATTTTGAGGAAAAGTCAAATTCATTGTTTATTTTTATATTATTTTTAAGTTATCTGAACAAATACTTTTGGAAACAAAGGTTGTTGTATAGTCAACACAAAAACGGTGCCACTCGGCTGTGAAAATCCTAGTAGATTTCGTGCATGTGGAACAGCCGTGAAGAGGGGACACCGTTTGGGGCTGTGTCCTTATTTTTCTGTAGAATGTAAAAAGTCATTTTAGCTGCCACCCACGACTTTGCCACATAGCTGAACTGTGTTTACTGGAAAAATTCAGAGGCCTAAAGTTTAAAATAAAATTTACTTCTGATGTTTTAATTAAAATGTTTGCCACATTAACTTCTCTGATGCCTTAAAAGTGGACTTCTTTAAAGAACCTTTGTGCTACTTTATCACAGGCTTACAACACAACTGTTACGATTTCATTTGGAGATTAGGGTGTCTACACATACACACACACACACACACACACACACAAAAGCACAAACCTGTTGCGATGTGTCGCTCCTTCCCGCGTCTGATTCTGCTGTGTTCTGTGCCCTCCCAGGCCCACCTAGGAATCAGGTTTTGGGGGGGGGGGGGGGGGGGGGGGGACCAAAATCACCGCTGGTTTTTAAACTGTTTTTTTAAAAATTATATATATATATAATCTATATTATACATAATATAGATAATATATATATGTATTTTGTGGTCAGACCTGTCTGTCCTTTTTAAACCGAAATGACCTCCTTCAGATCCTGTGCCTCTTCGTGCCAAACCCGCAGTGACACCAGAGGGTTCGTCTTTTCCCTTTGCATTAAATGCTTCACACAGCACAGCAACTGTTTTGCAAACTGCAGCAGAAATCAGATTTAAAACCAAAAGGAAGGACTTTAAAAAACTTTGACAAAACACACACACACAACCATGCACAACTGAGGAAAGTGCTCATTCGAGGGACTAAATGAGCAGAATGTTCCCGGTGGTCAGCGGGTCGCGGCCCGGCCCTCCGACGGCTAAGGCTTAGCTACGTGGAAAAGCCTGAGAAGTCACTTTGGAACTAAATTGCCTCCGTTTTATTTTGTATAAGTAAGGGTTTGATCTAAAAACAAGCTCACGTGTACATGTTAAGAACGTTTGCGAGTTTCCTCATCCCTGCACTCGGTTTGTGTTTTAGATTAGTCAATGCCCCTCATCGCTTCATGGTCTCAAAATTGAGCGCTTCACTAAATGGTAGATTTTACTGTTAAAGACCCTACAATAAGATTGTTTTATCTGTACATTTTTTCAGATATTTAACTGTATAAAAATGTTCATTTTACACAATATTTAATTAAAGTATTTCTTGTCTGTGAATTTCACTTTGGGTAATTTTATCTGTTTTGATTAAAATGAGGGGCACAGCGCATGCAGATACAGACTGGGGTGGGGGTGGGGTGGGTGTTCCTTCAACACCTGGGCCCCAGGGCTGTGTCTTGGCTGACATAAAAGTGATTCGTAGAACCACCTTCTACAAAGTCATCAGTCCTTAAACCACTCTTGTAACCTGCACAGAGAAATTCTTAGGGCTCCGGTCCCCGGAGGGGCCGTCTGTACGTATGTTGCACTCAAATGTCTGTACGTGACCCTGTGTCAGGCACCGTGGCATATAACCAACCTGGAGGCTGCACCACCCCCCCCCCCCCCCCCCCACTTTGGAACTGGAGGGCGCGGGCAGGTAGAGGGCGAGAGCTCGGGTACACACCCCCTCCCTCCACCCCCACCACCGGGCCCCGCCGGGGCGAGAACCGGCCTTGGGCTCTGGACGGGTGGGCAGGCACCAGGGCACCAGATGGCCGTGCCGGCCGAGGTCCCACCTGGGATGCCACCAAGTGGTTCCGGGTCCACGGCAGCGGGAAAGCGGACCCTCTGCACTGCGGCCGGTCTGCATCCACCAGCATGGGCACCGACGATAACGAGGATGACGAGGGCGCCATCTGCCCCGGGCTTCTCATTTGCACAGGAAGCTCGGCTCCTGCAAGTTCTTGAAACTCCCCTTCATTTCATTCTGTATTTTTCATTTTCTCCTCAATGAAAGGCTGGTTTTGCATGTTTTGGCTTGCAGCTCTGTAACACATACACATAAGTGTGATCCAAATTAGTACTCACAAATGTCATCTTAATTACTTGTTCTGCTGAGCAAAACAGGAAACAATTATTCAAAACATAAAGAAACTTGTGAATACCTTTCTCTCCTGTCACTGACAGTCAGGTTCCTTTGACTGCATTCTTGTTTCAGCCTTAAAGAGACAGCAAAGAAAAGGAGGCTCAGGGGGCACAAGGCTGCAGGCCGCCCCCCCTCCCGCCTCCCCCTGGGCTCCTTCCCAAGGTGCTGGGGGTGGGGCTGGGGACCAGAGTCCCCTCCTCCCTCACTCTGAGTGGGTGACAGAAGTGCCAGCCTGGGCGGCGGGGGGCGGGGGGTGGGGGGGGGGGGGGTGGGGGGGGCCGCCCCCCCAGGGCCGCCTCCCCAGGCCCTACAACCTGGGGAGAAATTGTTTCATGTTTGTGTTTCGAATCAGAAGCAGGAACCGCATTCTCTCCAGATGTATGCCAATTATTGTCAGGCCGCCTTTTAAGGTCTTTCAAGCTTTTAAAGATTATTCAAAGCACTTGAAATGGGCTTCCGTCTAATGCCTCATTTCATTGCATTAAACAGCCTAGTTAATAAAGAATCAATATATTCAAAGGGCAAGGTTATCTTTTGTCTATAAGGGGTGGTGTCATTCTGAACCTTTTATAGTTCAAATGCTGAAAAAGGCCTCGCGAAATCCATACTCATCAAGTGGGTCACTGAGAGCAATAGAGAGGGCCCCTGAAAGGAAAGACGGCCACTCTCCTTTAAAACAACTCAGCCTTATCTCCTCGCTCGGAGCGCCCAGAGAAGTCCTCCGAAAATGTCAATTTCTCATCAAGACAAGAGGCCGTGATGATCATTTTTTTCCAGAGAATACATACAATTAGGAGAATGCAGAGGGGCGGCCGGGGTGGCGATTTGTAGCGGCTTCTGTCCCCCCGAGCCGCGAGCCCCCTCCCAGCAGATAAGAGGAGTGGTTGATAACTCAAGTGCCAATACGCCAAAGAGCGAGTTTTGAATGTGAGTCCTTGTGCTCCGAGCGCGCCCGGCCGATCCCGGGCCCTGATAACAGCACAGCTTCTAACAGACACGGCAGGTTGGCCCTCACAATTAATGCGATGAATACATCACACAAAAGAGTCGGGAGGCTTTATGCTCGGTGAGACAATCCCCTGTTTTACCCTTCAAGGATTCCTTTTATGTTGGAATAAGGTTGCTTTTAATGAAATTTAAACTCATCAGAGGAAATCAGAAACCTCCAATCAGATTACAAATTGATTTTTTGGTCATTTGTCATTTCCCAGTTTCACAGAGAGCAGGTTGCCAGTCCGGCGCTGGGAGCCAGTGTGCACACAGCTCCCAGCCCCTGGCCCGGGTACGGACGGGAGCAGACTCACGCCGTTCTGACTCTGACTCTGCCCCCGCCCAGGTCTGGCGAAGGGAACCCCCGACAGGAGCCGGCACCGCTGAACTCGGAAGCCAGCGTGGCTTAACCTGGGGACTCACGGTGATTTCTAGGTCTGCACTCGTGAGCCACTCGTGGCCCACGAGACACTTTCTCTTGGCAGCGTAGGAAGTTTTGGTTCGTACCCACCCACGTCCCGAACCGGCTCTGGGCCACACCTGCACGGCGTCCCAGGGAGTGTCCAGGCCTTATCCACCAACAGCTGGTGATCTGGGGCCACGGTGATACCTGGCTAACTCCTACTCAGCCATCCGTTCTGAGCCCAAATGCTCGCTCCAGGGCGAGGTCTCCCCTTTCTCTCAGGCCAGTTGAGGGAGGCCTGCCCCGTGTGCCCCCCAACCTGGGAGCTACTCAAGGCCACCTGCTGCTGGCCTCCCAGGGGCTCTCCCATCATACGCTGGGTGGACTTGGAGGTTCCTGAGGACAAGACGCAGCCGTGCCCTCCTCAACCTCTCATCCTACGCTGGGCACCAGGCCCGGCCCGGGGCAAGGTCAGGGTAGGCACAACTTCAGGAGGAAAGTGAACATCATTCCTGACTCAAGATTCCTTGGAGATACCCTTTCAAAATGTAATCTCTGAAGTGAGTTGAGTATGCCACACATTTCTGGACAGCACGCAAGCACCGTCCCCCCCCCACAACACCTGCTGGACCTGGGGGGGTTTGTAGGTCATTTTGGCCACCGCCACCCCCAACACTTGCTGGACCTCGGGGTTTGTAGGTCATTTTAGCCAACGCCCCCCCCAACACCTGCTGG